GTAAATGAAAATAAGTAGAGTCGTTGATTGCTATAGCATCGAAAATCCCACCACAGAACGTCATAAATGGGAAAGGCATGTGTTTCTTTGAAGTTCACATCTGCACTGTGGCCCAAAGGCACACGTGGTAGTGTGGCGGAGTGGTTAGCGTGTCGAGATCATACGCTGCACTACCACAACCCAGGTTCGAGTCCAACCTGGGGCATTGATAAGAGCTAGGCGAGGTCGAAACTGTAGTCCGCTCCTGTCTGTGTGAAAATACCTTTCGAGAAGTAAGGATAAGCGAAATTCAATGTAAACACAAGGACTACTCATAAGAATGCGGCAAAATTCAACTACCAGTCTTTCATCGCCCTAAACTAAATAAGGTGAATGCACCTCATTTATCGCTGCTTCATCACTTTATGGCCGTTGAGGTGAATATAATTCGTTAATTGATCGGACGACAGCGAAGCGTTAAATTCTAGTTTACATACTCATCCGGCCCGATCTGCCAACCCTAACTGGCCTATCACATTGCTCTATTCTTGAATCTACTGCTTGATCGATCCTTCTGCCAAATTGAAGCCTTTCTTTGAGTTTGAATGCCTGCCTACAGTGAAAAATATAAGCCAGACATTCCAGTTTGTTCTGCGTTATATCTCTGCGCAGCTTTCGTTCGACACGCTAAGGCTTGCCCTGTTTATAGAGCCAACGAAGACCACTTTTCTGTAGATCCACTATACCAACATGGTAAGTTGGCGTGTAACTTTCGGCCTTGTCGAAGGGCACAGATGAGGTAACGTTAATTGGTTGATTAAACTCTACCTTTTCCCTTTTTCCCTTTGCGTAAATCGCAATTCGGTAGCGCGAGTGCATCAGTGTCCACGTCGGTCAGGCAGGCGTACAGATTGGCAATGCTTGCTGGGAGCTGTATTGTTTGGAGCATGGAATCCAGCCTGATGGCCAAATGCCCAGTGACAAAACAATTGGTGGCGGTGACGATTCATTCAACACCTTCTTCAGTGAAACGGGCGCTGGAAAACATGTTCCCCGTTCGGTGTTCGTGGACCTTGAGCCAACAGTGGTTGGTGAGTTGCCATGCTAACTGGTTGTCAATGCTAGTCTTGACATGTGGACTGGTTGTATGTTCACTTTTCTTTTTAGACGAGGTGAGGACGGGCACTTATCGTCAACTCTTTCATCCGGAACAGTTGATAACTGGAAAGGAGGATGCAGCCAACAATTATGCTCGAGGCCACTACACCATTGGTAAAGAGATTGTTGATCTGGTCTTAGATCGGATCCGCAAATTGGCAGATCAATGCACCGGTCTTCAGGGCTTTCTGATATTTCACTCGTTCGGAGGAGGCACAGGGTCAGGCTTCACGTCGCTTCTGATGGAACGTCTCTCGGTTGACTATGGAAAAAAGTCAAAATTGGAGTTCTCCGTCTACCCAGCCCCGCAGATCTCCACGGCTGTGGTAGAGCCTTACAATTCAATTCTAACAACCCATACCACTTTAGAGCATTCCGACTGTGCTTTCATGGTGGACAATGAAGCTATCTACGACATCTGCAGGTGGGTTGACATTCTGTCTCGAGTGGAGAGACACGGCCGCACTGTTCTACACAATTTTAGTCGGTCTAAGTCGCTTAAGATGATTTATGAACTGACGGTTAAGTTGTTCTCACAATTTTCTGTTTATAAGTCGGTTTTAGAGACTACCAGCAGATCTGATGTAAGAATTGTCTTCACCCTACTTTGTCTAGCAGTTGAATTTTCCCACAATAATATATATGGGTAGCTCTTACGTTTCAATTCAATTTCACGTTGCATCACTTCTCAAAAGGTAGTCTCATTCCGACAAGAGTGGAGTCCAGATTCAGCCTAGTTTGGGCTCGAACACGCGTTGTCGACACACTAACCGCCTCGCCAAACTGCCGCTAGTGCCTTTAGATAGTAGGGCAAAGTGAATTGTAAGGATAGTTGACGAAGCAACCGAATACATTACTTATTTTGAGTTAATAAGTAGGTTGTTAAAACTATTAGTGGATATGCTCTAAAAGCTGTATACATCCTATTTTATGTAAAGTGGTTAAGGACTGGTAGTTGGATTTTCTCACAATCACAAAAGCTCATCTTATTGAGGGTGGCCTCTTAAGCATCCCAACGGAATTCGAATCCGGTTCGTGAGTATCGTGGCGAAGTTTACAACACTCCTACATGGTCACAGGGCAGATGCAACATTCAAGGCAAGCCAACTCACATTTTTATGGTGAGCTCATGCAATGAAATAGAGTGAAGTGGTGAAAGTCGCACAATACTCCCTGCCTAGTTCGAATCCCGCTAAGGCTGCTGATTAGACCAGTTTAGGCAAGGTCAAAACTGGAGGCAGGGTTTAGGCAAATTCAATCGCTCCCTGAGGCCTACTCATCTGACTGTTGTAAAAATACAACTATTATCCCCTAAATCTGATTCTGTAAAAAATGGTACTGTTTTAAACGTATACATCCTCTAACTTGCCACACTTACAGACGGAACTTGGATATCGAAAGACCAACCTATACCAATTTGAATCGGCTAATCGGTCAGATCGTCAGTTCAATTACGGCCTCTCTCCGATTCGACGGAGCACTCAACGTTGACCTGACGGAGTTTCAAACCAATCTGGTGCCTTATCCACGAATCCATTTCCCTCTGGCCACGTATGCACCGGTCATTTCAGCCGAGAAGGCCTATCACGAACAGCTTAGTGTGGGAGAAATCACCAACTCCTGCTTCGAGCCAGCCAATCAAATGGTGAAGTGTGATCCCAGGCATGGTAAGTACATGGCATGCTGCATGCTGTATCGTGGAGACGTGGTGCCAAAGGATGTCAATGCTGCCATCGCCACGATAAAGACGAAGAGAACGATTCAATTTGTTGACTGGTGCCCAACCGGCTTCAAAGTGGGCATCAACTACCAGCCGCCGACCGTGGTACCGGGAGGCGATCTGGCCAAGGTACAGCGGGCTGTTTGTATGCTGAGCAACACGACAGCAATTGCCGAGGCTTGGGCCCGCCTCGACCACAAATTCGATCTGATGTATGCTAAACGGGCTTTTGTGCACTGGTACGTCGGCGAGGGAATGGAAGAGGGCGAATTCTCAGAGGCCAGAGAAGACTTGGCTGCCCTCGAGAAGGACTATGAAGAAGTGGGTGTGGATAGTGTTGAAGCGGAGGGTGAAGGGGAAGAAGGTGAAGAATATTAGGCTCAAAATAACCGTGAAAAACACACTTACAATCGGAGTAAACCATTCGTCAGGATGCTCTAGGCGATTCGAGCGTCTAGAAATTGTAGAGACCACAATCTAGCCGGAGGTTTCACTCCGAATATGTACATTGTTGTGTATATGTGTGTATGCTTGATCGTGTGTGCATACATAAAGGCTTTCTTCGTGAGTGCATGTGTACGCTTGTGTGAGCGTGTTCGTTTAGGTGAGTGCGTCTGCCAATGCGAGTATGATAATATAAGTAATCTGAAAGGGATAAAGGTAAAAAACGTTGCTCGTTGCTCCGTTAATATTGGGAATAAAACCCATCGAAAAATTCTGTATTTGTGTTTCAAACGATTGTACAAAATGAAAAAGTCGTTATTTAATGCTAGACTTTCTTTTTCCTTTGGCCATTCCAACTGTTAGTCGTAAACGGGTGGAATATGAGCATTTCTAGGCCCATACATCTTTATCTCCAAGAGATTTGTTCCAATTCAGACTGTACACTCATAAGGGCAGTTTGTTTTGGCCACCATATTCTCTTTCAGATAGAACCTCGATGCTAATCAGGGTCTAATGTAGAGGTGTGACTGTCTCGGGTGGACAGGGTTACCTAATCCAGGCCCTCTTTACAGCCTGGTTTGGCGAGCTGACTTGCGAGGTACAAACCACGAGTGATGTGGAACATGTTCTTTTAAAATATGTCAATATGAACCAAGCCCAGGATAGAATTGTCGACGAAATACTTGGAGCAATAGCCCAACCTGAAGAGGAGAATAAACATGGCTTGATTTGTAACGACTAAAATTAGGAAAAAGAGAATGAGGGAGAACATGAAGCTCTGGGTTTCGGATTGGTTAAGAGGCTCGTGGGGTCGGAAGGTCGGGAGGCTGGTGGACTGCGGAATTTCCACCTTTAATCCAACCGTCGTTGGGAGAGAATTCGAACCTCTTGCTAACCTATGATGCAATCACGGAGCGAGGTACAACAGTATGAGCAGCGCTAGGCTCGAAGCAGAATCAAATTTTCAGTTGCTCCCACCTCGGCTGTAGTGGACGGCCGTTTTGACCTCCCCTGATGCGATCTAGTCAGTACAACCAGCGGGACTCGAACTTTGGTAGTACGGCGTTATCCCTCTGTCAAACTGTCACGAGTGCCACTGAACTACGAGATGGACATGACATTTTTATGTGTTGCAATTGTTGATAAGACAAATTCGAGACTACCCGTTAAGCATATACATTAGATGTATTCATCTCAACGAACTAGGGTGAATGCATCTCGTAAATTTGTATTTTCCCATTACAATGATGTTGGAAAATTCAATTTACCGTCCATCACTTTATGCGACCTAGGGTGATTAGAGCTGTTAATCGGCATCAGAACCCTTTACCTCAGCAGAAGGGTGTTCATCACCTCTGCATTCTATGAAATAAGTATGGTCCATAGCACTGAAATGGCAAATATGGCCTAATCCGATGGTCATCCAAAAGTGACCCGTAATCAGACTTACTGTATGTTAAAAATCTCGTATTCTCTTTCAGCAGACGCAAAGATTTGACTGTCTTAATCATCGAGAGTACGAGCTTGGTATCATCAGCATGGCTCTCAATCCCTGTCAGACAGGAGTTTTGCCTTGTTCTGTCTCCGTCTAGAGTCTAGACGATAAATGCAAACAGCTAAATTGTCTTCCATCCACAACAAATGCAGGAAAACTCCATTGGGAGACTTCGGAAGTTGTTCAAAGACAGTTTTGCTTGGACAAAGTAATTACGTTCCTTGCCTTCTGTACATCCATCATAAGCCACTTGTCTAAAGAGCCTATAATACTCTGGGAGGCTAGAGAGTCCTGGAACGAGAATGGTCTGCCTGCATCTGTCTGGTATCATTCAGATGAAGAGAGAAAAGCATTTCTAGAAGTGAGACTAACACTTTTTTCTAGCATAGCCAACGAAGACGGTTCGAATGAGCACCCAAAAAGCCTTCCCTCGCAGACATTCAGTGATCATACCTTTCTCTGTCCAAGTGTCGATGTGTTTCAAGAATTTAGTTGTATAATGGATAAAAGTGTGTCAAATTCACACTCAACTAGAGACTATGAGGAAATTTTGATTCACTCTAGGTGACAAATTTACA